ACCTAGAGACAACAAACAAATAAATTTTTGTTCCAGATCATAGAACTAAGAAAACCAGAACTTCAACTAAGTTGTCTGGCTCCAGAGCCTCTTAAACATAATACTGTATTCTACCCCCTCCCCCAGGTGATGCTCTCTGTGTGAGCGTATGAGACTGGACATTTAACATTCTAGAACGAAAAATTAGGGGGCACCCCCCCACCACAAAGCCCCGCAATATCAATTATTTATATCACTGCACTGTCTTCTGATTATTAGCAGCGTACAAAAGTGTTGCAATTGGTCTATATCTGTTTTAGCTCTTTTCACTCTCTATTATTTTATATAAATAGTTCCATACACTTAAATTCCGCTAGCTTACACATCATATGCATGCCAGTAGCCATTAAATATAGAATCCTTGTCTAGTTCATTATTGCTAGATATTTAGGTTGCTACTTCATTTTCACTATGATGAATAACCATATTGCCATAACAAGCTATAAACATATTCCTTTGGTTAATAAGCCCATTATTGAGATTGCTCAAACAAATTATTGGATCAAACACTATGAACAGTGTTGTGATCCCCGACCCACAGCAGGTTGCTCTGCAGAAGGACTGGCCAGTTTACAAAGCCAGGAGAAACGTGTTGGTGCATCCCTTAGTCCCTAATCCTGCCAGTGCTTAAAAAAAGAATCACTGGGTTAGTTTTGCTAATTTAACAAATACAGTAGAACCTCACGCTGTTCCAGTTTGAATTTCTTCATTATTAGGGAAACTGTTCCATAATTTCCTACCTATATTTTTCTATGTGTAGAATATTTGTTTTACCCTTTGTCTTTCTTATAAATTAAGGAAATACTTTTTTTAAAACCATGAGGAACAGTGTATAAATATTAATCCTCTAAATAACTGAGAAATTCTCATATTCAGTTTCACTTGATTAATAGCTTTGAATTACCTCAACTGTATACAGATACCATCATAGGACCCTAAGACACTATAAAATAAAAATAACAGTAATTGTCTAAAAAGTTGGAGATGGTGCCAAGTAATAGTAGATATCTGACGGTACCATATAGAAATATGATTCTATAAATGGAAATACTACTTTTCCAATTACTCAATGATGCTCAGCTATTTTGTTTTCTTTAAGTTTCAGGCTCCTGTGAGAATCTGACAAAAACCTACGGGTCATCTCCATAAAAGATACCCATATGCATACATTTTGCACAAGGTCTCATAGATTTCCATGGGTCCCCAGTTAATGATCCCGTTACAGCAGTGTTATCTCTATCATTTTTTTCTTCAAAATATTTCTCCTAACTACCCTCTTCTCTACATCCCATTGCTGATCCCCTTGGTCTGTATCTGGTTTACAGAGAGGAACGGCACGAGAAAAAAATATAAATGGACACTTACCGTTGCTCTCATTACAGTGATGAGATCCGTGGTGGAGTTAAGGCCAGCGTGCTGTGGAGGTGTGCTGGAGGAGAGCCATCACTCTACTTCGAGTCATCACTGCTTACCCCAGACAATTACAACGCTTCCTAATTGGTTGCAATCTCTCCTTTGCCTTCTGCCCCAATTCAATTTTTTTTTTTTTTTTTTTTTTTTGCGGTACGCGGGCCTCTCACTGCTGTGGCCTCTCCCGTTGAGGAGCACAGGCTCCGGACGCGCAGGCTCGGCGGCCATGGCTCACGGGCCCAGCCACTCCGCGGCACGTGGGATCTTCCCAGACCAGGGCACGAACCCGTGTCCCCTGCGTCGGCAGGCGGACCCTCAACCTCTGCGCCACCAGGGAAGCCCCCCAATTCACTTTTTGCTTAGCAGAACAAGATGTCTTTTTAAAGCCTAACCAGATCACATTATCCCTTCGTAAAATTCTCTAATCACACTAAGAATAAAATTCAAACCCCTAGCCACAGTTTCCAAGGCTCTATCTGACCTGGCCCAGTCCTTCTCCTATTGTCCTCTGCTAAGCTGAATCCATCCTAGTCCCGCTTTCCTTTCGCCTCAGGACTTTTCCACTTTTCTCTCTACCTGAATCACATGTCTCCTGGAGCTTCCATGACTTTCTTTCTCTCTTCATTTAGATCTCAGATGGCTGAGAGGAGCATTCCCTGACCACACTATCTAAAATCTTCTCTCCACCCTGATCATTCTTTTACCGTTCACTCTGTTTTATAATTTTTCATCCAATTTGTCACTACCAGGCACTTTATTAATAAACCATTTGTTTTCTGACTTTTCCACTCTTATAAGTGCCATGAGGACAAGGACTTTGTTTAGGTATTGGTGTATATCTAGGACTCACAACAGTACCCAGTGCACACAATAAGTTGCTCCAATATTTATTAAATAAATGTTGGGACTAATACTTTGTTTATGCACTACAGACCATAACTGATTCCTGCTCACAGAGTAAAAAGTTAAAGAAAACTTTTTTTTGCGGTACACGGGCCTCTCACTGTTCTGGCCTCTCCCGTTGCCAACGGAGCACAGGCTCCGGACGCGCAGGCCCAGCGGCCATGGCTCACGGGCCCAGCCGCTCCGTGGCATGTGGGATCGTCCTGGACCGGGGCACGAACCCTCATCCCCTGCATCGGCAGGCGGACCCCCAACCACTGCGCCACCAGGGAAGCCCCAAAGAAAACTTTTTAAAAAGTAAAAATCTTGAACTACTCTTAAAATAAAAGGATAAAAGGTGTAGTGATAGCTAACAGTCTGGTATTCATATCTGAAACTTACCTACTATTGGAAAAATTAGCATGAGAAGGCCAGATCTGAAATTTTTATAAAAAAGAAAGCTATCATACCTTGTATTTGAAAAAAAAAATCAGTGCAAACACATATTAAAGGATTAAAACTACATAGAAAGGTTATTAGGTTAAAAGTAGAATTCACTCTCATATTCATATTCATACATATATATACTTAAAATGTATACAAATTAATCTATTCTACATACTATTTTGTAATTGCTTTTAAATTGCTTTTTTTTTAAATTGCAATTCCTTTAGAAAACTTATCTTGGAGAATTTTTAAAATTACATCACTTAAGGCTAAACTAATTCTTCAAAGGTTGAGGAATACATTTGACTAGATAGGCCATAACTTATGAATAGGCATTTAATTTAGATTATTTCTACAGTTTTTCTATTTCAAAAATGTTTCAATAAATATCTCTGTATGTATACATGTATAAATACAGATTAATATAGATCATATATATTATATATAATAATATATAATGTGATATCTAATGTATCATACATAATTGAACATATTTGTCAGATATACACATATATGTATATATGTAATTTTCCTGAGGATAAAGCAAGTTCCTAGGAATAAAATATTTGAATCTGATACCATCAAATTGCTCTTCTAGACACCAATTATGCTTTTAGCAATAAAATTTGAAAATTCTTGTTTTCTTATACTCTTGACAACTTCTTTTTGGGGGTGGTGAAGTAGAAAAGGATAGCTTTATTGCTTTACCAGGCAAAGGAGGACACAGCAGGCTCCTGCCTCGAAAAACTACGTGTCCCTACTCTTGACAACTTTGGACATTAGTTAAAAATTATAGCCAATCCCATGAATTAAAACAAAATGGCACCTCATATTATTTTGCCTTTTTTTAAAAATTATAAGACATACTAAATGATGCTAAATCTCACTCAAAATTAAGGAGTACTTGCTTCAGTGGTTTGGTTCAAAAGGGCTATGCGTATATATAACAAAGGGCATGGAGATGAGATGCCCCTAAAGTAGAGTTTAAATAATTAAGTAATGATCACTTCATTTGTAATATGACACCATCATATACAGTTCAACCCCTACAATTTTCACCTATGTAAGAAAGCTTATTGTTTTCCATTAAGCATATATCTTCCCATTATATCACAATGGTCTTCTAATGGCCAAATAAAATGGGTACGTGTAGTACTCCTATTACTTCCCTTCTCGTCAGTTTTTGGCATTAACAGTACAGTAATCCCTCTTTAAGATTTTCTCTTCTTTTTGCTTCTAGAACATGTGCTCTGCGTTCTCTCCAACTCTAGTATCACTCCAAGTTTGATTTGATTACAAGATACTCTTCCTTGGTACATCCCCTCACCTTAGTGATCTCTTAAAAGTTGGCCTTTAGTATCTTCCACAATACATCACACACTCTCTGGCTTATCTCTTCTATTTTCATATTACTAACATGATGATAAGTTATAAATTTTGATCTTGATTTGGCCCAGATAGCTTCTCCTGGGATAGTTACCTATTTAGTTGAATAGAAATCTCATTCTGAATATTCCACAGGAAACTTAACACATCCCCAGACAATTAGCTTTTCTCTTTTCCTCCTCTACCACCAGCAAAATTCCTCACTTCCTTCTCTGTGTTCTACCCGGTAAACAACAACACAATCAACCAATCACTCAGGACCCAAGCCTGGATTGACACCTTCCACAGCCAGCTAATCATTTTTGCATCGGTTCTATCCCTCAAATAGTTTTCAAACACATCCCACTTTGTCTTTCACACTACTACCACCACCCTAAAACAGTCCAATATATGTTTTTTGAATGGACACATGAGTGAATGTATTGGAAAGGAAGATGATAAAGTGAGAGAAATGATGGCACACGGTTCCCCATGTTAATATCCACTAGAAGAGGTTTTAGATTCTGTCTTTCAAAGTGTTTTTTTAGAACTTGAGTTCTCTTCATTCAATGTCATGAAATGCCGTTGAAGTTTTCATGCACGAAGTTGCTTTCCTTCCCTCTCCCTCCTTTCTTCTCCTTCTCCCTTAACTCTTGCCTTTCTCTGGATCCCTCTCCCTGGCCCGGCGTCCTCCTCCCAGCACGCTGGTCAGCTCCTCTCGCGGAGGGCTCGGGTTTAGCCCCGCCTACCCGGAGCCCAAGTCACGAGGCCGCGGGTCGGGTGCAGCTCAGTGGGCGGGGACTCCTCAGCGCGCATGGGCGGAGCGGGGCGCGGGCTGCACCAGCTATATCTGCGCCTGCGCGGCGCCGCTGCTGGGCCAGTCGGGACGGAGGAGACAAGATGGCGCTGCGAGCGATGCGGGGCATCGTGAACGGGGCCGCGCCTGAGCTTCCCGTATCCACCAGTGGGCCGGTGGTGGGGTCTCGAGAACAGGTGCTGGCAATTAGCCGGAACTACCTCTCCCAGCCTCGTCTCAGTGAGTATCAGAGAGCAAGACGAATCCTGTCTTTTCTCTTAGCCCAGCTCCTTGCTCCCACTCACCTGCTTAGCCAGAGGGGTGGGATGGGGCGATTGTTTTTCCTTCTCGCGTTCCCCTACTCCGACGTCTCTCTCTAGTAGGCGATTTGAGTGTACCTTAATTTCCGTGCCAGGGGTGGGCTAAGGGGAAGAGCAGCAACGGGAACTTTTTTCTGGGTTGGTGGTCTCCTGGCTATTGCCCCACCGGTGCTCTCCAGTTTCCCGAGGCTGGAACATGCTCAGGCGCTTGCTTCCTGTCTCTGAGCGAAGGCCACTTCTTGCCACTCTTATCCTAATCTTCTGCTGACCTCATTTGGACCTGCAGGGGTCGAGGGAACCGCCCCTCCCCTTCCCCCTGCCTCGGGTGTGGACCTCAGGGCAGGTCCTGAGATCCTGCCGAGGGGGACGGTGTAGTGTCATCGCTGACGTGCTCAGGCCTTTCGTGGATGGAGGTCAGGCCCACAGCCAGAGGGAAATGTTGTTCAGTGGAGAAGCTGCTCCGCAGGAGGACACCTAGATATCAGAGAAAGCTAGCGCTGAAAAGTACCCTGCGGGTCATCTAGTCTAACCCTCTCATTTTACAGTGAGAAGCCTAAGGTTCTGAAAGGAACAGGGCTCGCCAGGCTTTAGACCCCTAATTACTGGCAGAGCAGGAAAATTCCAGGTTTCTTAATTCTTGCTGGACCTTTTCCTGCCATTAACTTGATTGCAAGGCTATCTTGGAGAAGACAAGAAGCTTTGCCCATATTATTTAGCAAGTATGCAAAGCATATGCATAAGCATGTCTAAGTGTTGTGATTGTAAAAAGACCTTAATAAACCAGGCTTAAGTGGACTGTTTAGCAGTTTCGAAAGAAATGGTTCTTGGTGACTAAACAATAAAATTGTGTAGCATCAGACCTCCTCACAGTTTCCTTAGGAACCGGGGATGAGCACTGGAAGTAGACTCTTTAAAACTTAGGAAAGCACCTGATGTTTTCCAACGTGGTGAGACTGTATTTGCCCCGGTTAATTGCCACAGTACCTCTTTGTGGGTGGCCCATTGGTTAACAAGAATTTCAGATGAAGGGTTTCAGTCTGAGCGCTCTCCTGCCTGACTAATCCCATCCTCATCAGTCAGTGGGTCAGCTCATGTGGCGGCACTGCAGTGTAAGGAAGAAAGAAAAGACTTGATTCTATGGTTTGCAGAGATGTGTGTTTTTTTTTTAATTGAAATATAGTTGATTTATAACGTTGTGTTAGTTTCAGGTGTACCGCAAAGTGATTCAGTTATATATATTATATATGTATATATATTCTTTTTTAGATTCTTACCCATTAGAGGTTATTACAAGGTATTGAGTATAGTTCCCTGTGCTATACAGTAGTTCCCTGTTGGTTATCTGTTTTATGTATAGTAGTGTATATATTTGAATCCCAAACTCCTAATTTATTCCCCCCATGTGCTTTCTATAATGGGAATTATTTGCGTTAGAGAGTGCTTGTTGAGAGTTTACATGCTGAATGTTTCAAGAAATTGACAGATGTTGCATTCTTATGACAATAAATTTGTGCCTAACAGTTACAAATACTCTTTTATGAATTGCATTTGTATGCTTTGCTGTTCTTTGGGTAGAACAGATAGACATTAGTGGTGCTTCTAGGAAAAGATTATAAGGGGCAGTAGTCATTTTTCCATATAATTATTCACTCAATCTCAACTCAGTATCACTTGAAATAATAACATAGTTTAAAGAGTACTCCATGACTGAGGTTGTAAACCCTTAAGGGAGATGAGTATGATTTCTCAACATTCTGTGTGTGCTTAGCCAGTGACTGAAGAACTTCTCCAGATGAGATTCCTCCTGACAACATTGTTGCGACATAATGCTTAAAACTGAAACTTTAGGGTTCAGGAATCCTTTTTGTATCCTCAGTGCCTAGCGCAGTGTTGGCACATAGAAACATTGTGTTTTGTAATTGTATAACTTGCATTTAAACCCCTTCTTCTAATAGTTTAGTATATGGATCTTTAATGTGGATGGAACCAGAGTAGGGAGTTGGGGTACTTAGTTTGAGTTTCACTTTTGTGTCTGGGTTATTCTAAAAAGCACAAATGATATCATACTTAGGCTAACAGCTAACTGCATTTGAATGTCATCTTTTTCCTATATTGCCACACTGTTGATTGTAGTTAACACTTTTAATTGCTTCTGAATAAATATTAACTTCTTAATTTTTCTGATTAAAGATCGATGTTACCATCCTAGGTAAAAAGTTATAGTTATTTAATGTGTGCTTTTTGAACAAAGGAATGGAATATTGGCAGTTCCACTGTACAAATTGGATCCTGGTTTTAAAAAATTTCAGGATTCTGGGGCCGTTAACAAGAGATGGAAAATGAGATATGCAGGCTTGAAATAATCTTGAGCACATTAGTTGAATTTCTAAAGTCACAAGGAAAGAAAACTTGATTTCCTTTTAAACTTTGAGCAAGGTTCAATAATATATGAAGAGCTTTTGGATGTTTAACGTTTTGGATTAGATAATCTCCTTTGTTCTTGAGATCCTAGATCAACTAATCTTAGTTTCTTATGTCATAAAGCAGAGTTAGCCTCAGTGAAAAGTCCAGTAAAGGAATGGTCGGCCTGCCTTTTTCCAGAACCTCTCCCTCCTTGCCCACTACAAAGTGTGGGTCTTTACTTTTCTTGCACAATAGAAGATGATTGTTCCCGTTTTGTTCTGCTAATAAGGTGGAGGCTGAAGGACTAGATCTCTTATTGTGCAATGACTGTCGAATTTTCTCTTTGAAAGTTTCACAATCATTAAGTAGTGTTAGTTCTGTTGAACAATCTCATATCCTATAGGAGGAAGAGGATGTCATCTAACAAAATATGTGCTTCTTAAAAATCTTTGTAGATTTTGGGTTTTAAATGTTACTCCATAAATATTTATTGTCTTCATAAATATTCAGGATCAAAGATGTAAACATGTGTCTGCTGTGTTTTCAGAAGTTCTGATCATCCCCTGCAGACCCAAGTTCTTCTTCATTTGAAATTTTCAAGAGAAGAGTGGTCATTGTTGTTTCGAAACAGAAATATTTATGTAATTTGTGAATGGGTATTGACTTTTTGAAGAGCAGCTTTATGTCTTTGGCAGCTTTAATCTAAATGGTTGTCTCTGCTTTGGACTGTTAATACTAATGGTGAGAAAAGCTGGGTAAATATTGTTGAGAGATAAAAGGTGGTATTTGATATTATTTTCTCTTCTTGTTCCCCCCCCAGTAGTTTTACTATTGTGGAAAGGAGCTATAGTTTTTATATAAACTGTTTTCTACTCCCTATTTGTAGTCCAAGTGCTAGGAACTGTGTTATCTCCATGTTTTTAAGTTATACTGGAGACTAAGGGTCATAGAGTATAAACTTAGAATTGGTGGTGGGGGGGCCACAAACAAACAAAAATAATTTTAATCCTGGCTCTTCCATTTAGTAGCAGATTTCTCATAGATGTAGTTTAAGTGTGGAGTAGGTCTATCAGCCTTGCCTACCTCCCAGTGTTTTGTGAAACTGGAATGGTAACCTATCTGAAGATGCTCTGTAAAGTGTGAAGCAGTTTCGTTTGGTAATATTTTTTATTTAGTTTGGATTATAACATTTATGAGTTTAGTTTGCATCCCATTTTAATGTAAACCAAGCATGTTGCTTAACCTCTGGTTTGTATCTGAAGTGGTCTCCTCATGCTTTCCAGTGACAGAAAACTGCTGAAGCATTTCCATTAGTTTCTTCCTTTCCTGCTTTAACTTTTCTAATGGCTACACTCCACTGGAGAAAGGTTGTTTTTCAGTAATGATACAAGAGTGCCTCAGACCACAAAAAAATGCCCAGTTCAGTTTTAGAATTTGAGCTGTAGAACAGAGTCAAAGAAAAAATGACTGGAGGCAGACTGTGTAAGTTCAGATCCTTAGGCAAGTTACTTAATTTCTGAGAATCATTTTTCTCTTGTAAAACTTGGAATAATATTTGTTAGCTTATAGACCTGTTATGGAGTTTAAAAGAATTCCTGACAAGTACTTTTTAAATGTGTATTGGTAGTTTTGTTATTAATTAATTCCAGTGGTTACTAGCTTTTTTAAAGGCTACATACATTGTTGCAAATTTAGAGACTGCTTTTGATGAAGTAGAATCTTGCCTTCTATAGTTGAAATCTACTTGATTCACTGTTTCCAGGAAAAGCAATGACTCGCATTTCTTTTTTCTTGGTCATGCTTTTTGCCTTGTGACTGGCAAAACTTCATAATTTGAATGAGCTTGAATTTAAACATGAGATTCTTAAGGATCATTGTTGTAGAGGTTAAAAGTTCAAAGGAGATGCAAATCTTGTCCTGAAAGTAAAGAAGAATTTCAGAACCTGAAGCATTTTACTGATGTTACATTTTATTCAAAACAGTTGCCTGTAAATCTCAAAACTGAATTCCCACACCTCCACTGGCCCACTCCCTACTCCCATTCCCAGCTGTTTAGGTTTTGAAAAGGTCTTTGTTTCTATAGTTTTAAAACCTGAGTGCCAAGAAAATATGTTTCTAATGTAGTTCACTTTGCATATCCACATAGCAATTTTAGAAAGTAATTGAAAAACAGTATGTGGATTCTTTTAAAATGAGAACAGTGAGGGACTTCCCTGGCAGTCCAGTGGTTAGGACTCGGCACTTTCACTGCCATTGCATGGGTTTAATCCCCAGTTGGGGAGCTAAGATCTTGCAAACCGTGTGGCGAGGCCAAAAATAAAAATCAAATGAGAACAATGAAGAAATTGTTTTAGGGGTAGGACTTATTTTTAAGAGCATTAGATTATTTTAAAACAATGGAGAGGATTAACATAAAAGTAGCAGAATATATGACAACTGGGATATTTCTAATAATCTTGGAGGCATGATTAATTTGTTTACATTGCCATCCATTCAAGTAGCTTAACATTTAAAATTTGTGACTTGCTTTTTATCTAAGGTTGGAAAAAAAAAAGTAATTAGGGGCCTCTGTTGATCATTACAATTACAAATGTATTCAAGCAAATATTTGGTGTGAGGATTTAAAGGTCCTCAGTATGAAAGACTAGGGTTCCTGACAGTGCTTGCCTGCCCTGTCTCAGTGTTTCTACCAGGGCACTTGCTTCCTGGCTAAAGAAATTATGTTTTTAAATCCTGAAGCCCCTTGAATGGACAGACTGGTTATTAAATGGTTTCCTCATTCTTGGGAGTCTACATTCATTTCAGAAATTTCTGTCTAAGACATCATAAGAAATCAAGCAAGTGAAAAATTCCCAGTTGGTTGACAGCTTCTTACACATTATTTTAGGTCTTATAAACACTTATTTCATTTGTGTTTTCAGCTTTTCTGATTATGAAATTTAGTTAATTCTGACACTGTTAGAATTGCTTTCCTGAGTGTTCTGATTTATACTTGATTACCATTCATTATACTCGGCATGTATGTAGGTGTGATACAATTCAATGATAGCTACCTCCTTTCTAAAATGAGAGATTTGGGTAGTTTGTTGCTAGGGCATAATTTGCAGTAGAAAATATAAGCTTCTACAATGACAGTAACGTTTGACTTTTTTTTTTTCTTTAAAGGATGCTTATGTGATCTCTGGCCTTTAATTCCATCCGCCTTCATAAACTCTTTTTTTTTCGTAGTTTTTATGATACTATTTAATCATGGCATTTTATCTTAACAGACTACATTTTGTCAGATTTCTTTTGTGAGTTTTGTCACTTCTGCTTAAAGTTACGGATTCCCTTCTTCTTCTCTATCTACTTTGCTAAGTGCTACCTTTTCTGTAAAGCTTTTTCTTTTCTAAGTAAGGACCATTGCAGGGTCTTTCCTGTGCTCCCACACACCCTCAGCACACCTCTGGTAGAGCCCTTACCTCCCCCTTCTCCATATAAAATTGTGAACTACTGTGGGAACTCTCCCTCTTTACCTTTGTTTTTGTATCCTGGGTCCTTGAAACAAATGTGACTTATAGTAAGAATTAAAAATGTTTTTGGTTTGATGAAGGGGATTATGAGAAGTTGTACAGATGCAGGCATATTTTATAAATTCGGTGAAAAATTTCATACTTTCTGAGTGCTCTATATAATAGATATGATAGAGAGAGGGTTTTTTTGGTAATACCAGAGAGATCATTTAGACTGTTGTCCTGTTTGACAAGAACTGACTCTTTTGTGTTTCTTTCCAGCATACAAGACAGTATCAGGAGTTAATGGTCCACTAGTGATCTTAGATCATGTTAAGGTAATACCACTATCATTATCGTCTAACCATTTATGAGTTAAAAGCATAGTATTAAGTACTGTTTAGTACACTTTAAGTCTTTTGTTATGATTTTTTTAAGCCATTCCTTGGTCGGAATGTCAGTGCTATATGGAGACAAGAATTTTAGGTCAGAAGTCAGAAGATGGGATTCTAGTACTGGATCTGTTGTGGATTCTGTTTGTGGCTTTGAGTCCCTTGTCTGTAAAATTTAAAATTTTATTTGTTTGTTAATCATACCTCACAGGTTTATTAGGAAAACAACAGTAATATTTGTGTGTTTTATGACTTGTAGGATACTTAGATATACAGTATCTTGTGGCTCTTGTCGTAGACTAGTGTGTTATAACTACTTGTTACATTTTTGTCTTCTCTACTAAATTTTAAGGTCTCTGAGTGAGTAAACAATGTTACTTTTGTCTTTGAGGGCCTGATACTGGTATTCAAGTAATGAATAAACAACAGATTATCTCAACAGTGACTAAAACCATAATCAGAGAATAGTTTTTACTTATTCAGTTTGTTGAAAGATGCTTTAGTTACATGGGTTTTTTTTTTTTTTAGCCACACCTATACATAAGAATTATCTTAGAAAAAGAGGCATAGAATATAGTCTGTAATTGAATAGACCTCACCCTAGGTGAAGCCTCCTGCCTGAGTTCAGTGATTAAAATATCTTCAGAGATAATTTGTGTAATATGCTCTGTAGAACAGTAATTCTGCATTGGTTGTTGTTGGGAGTGGATCAGGGGGAAAGGTACACAGTTATTAGTTTGTTGAGAGAAGTAATGACAGAAGTGTGTTTGGCATGTGGCCCCTCTGGAAGCAGAAAATAAATTGAAAAACATTTCTTAAAAGAAAGGGCAAAGTGAACTGTCTCTTCAGCTTTATCACTAAGATATTTTTGTGCATGACAAGGTACCTATACAAATTAATTGCAAGATTAAGCATATAGCTTCCTCCTGGCCACAGTTTCATACTAGTCTGCAGTTTGATTCAAAGCCTCAGTATACAAATTGTACAAGGTTTAGGCAGCTGCCCGTTTATATTTTGTGAAAGGATGAAGTATACACTTTTATTTTTTGAGGAAGTATTGAATGCATTATTTGCTTCTTTGTCCTTTACTTCTTCTTTTTTATATACTTTCTATTGGATAAAATTTTTGACTCATATTTTAAAAATATGAAGCTTTTATATTAGTAAATATATTTTCAAAAACAGTTAAAAATATTCATGCTTCAACTATGTTAAGTGCTGAACTCAGCACCAAAAATACACAATACAAATACATAAATGTCTAATTGTTAAGTGCTATGAAGGGTGAGTGCAGGATGCTATGAGAGTCAATAATGGGAAGGACTTAGAAAACATCTTGGAGGAAGTAATTTTAAGAAAGCTGTAAAAGTTTTATTGAATGTTTGTTTGGGGTATAACTCCAGCTGAGGAAAAAAGTTTATGTAGTTGTAAGAATGGCTTTATACCACCAGATTTAGAGTGTTTTTTGTTTGTTTTTAGTTTTTGGCTCCTGTTTTTAACTTAAGGCATACAGATAGTATCAAGGAATGGATAATTTTATACAAATTGTATCAGAATAGATGATGATGGAGACTGCTGTCCAACTCATTTTCTGAAGGTGGTGCATCTTTGATTTCCAAACCTGACAAAGGATAGTATCAGAAAAGAAACAGTGTAGCTAACCTCATTCACAAGCACAGATTCTAAAATTCTAAATAAAAATGTTCTCATGTATTGGATATTAGCAAAAATATACTTTAAAAAATCAACAGGGCTTCCCTGGTGGCACAGTGGTTGAGAGTCCGACTGCCGGTGCAGGGGACGCAGGTTCGTGCCCCGGTCCGGGAAGATCCCACATGCCGCGGAGTGGCTGGGCCCGTGAGCCATGGCCGCTGAGCCTGTGCGTCCCGAGCCTGTGCTCCGCGACGGGAGAGGCCACAACAGTGAGAGGCCCGCATACCACAAAAAAAAAAAAAAAAAAAATCAACAGAATTATGACAAAGTAGAGTTTATCCCAGTAATACAAAGATGATTTGATATTAACAAATGTCAGTATAATTCAGGTCATTCATAGATTAAGCTAGAAAAAGCTTACGCTCTTCTCAGTAAATACAGAAAATGTATCTGATAAAATTACTTGTTTCTAAAAAAAAACAAAACAGAAGAAGGAGGTCTTAGAAATAAGGGATAGAACAAACTTTTAAAACCTCTTAAAGGATATCCACCATAACTTACAGCAAACAGCGTATTTAAGGAGAGACTCTAGAAACATTCCCATTTAAATCAGGAACAAGATGAAGACACCTGTTGTCACCACCGCTATCCATCTTTGTTCTGTCTTTGTGCTTGGACCCTAACCAATGCTGTGGGAAAAAGAAATTAGGGGATAAAGGGATTAAAAAGGAAAAGGCACAGCTGTCATCATTTCTTGGTAGTATGATTAATTAAACAGAAAACACAAGTCATTCAGTGGACAAACTATTAGAAACAATGGTGTAAAACAGTGTTGCTGGATGTGGATGATGTCTATAGAAATCAGTAGTGTTTTGTATGCCAGAAGTAACTACTAGAATAATTAGGAACTTTTTACAAAAAACTGTGAAACTTTGTTGAAAGACATAAAAGAAGACTTCAAATAAGTGGAGATTCCACGTTCATGCATGAAAAGGCTCAGAATAGAAAATACGTTGATTCTCTCCAGGTAACAAAATCAGTTAGAAATAGAGTAAGAATAAAGATTTGGTGAGGGAGTAAGCAGATATTTCAGTGGAGCAAAGTTAAGATTCTTAAAACCAACTCTTCTCACACCTGAGAATTTGACTTGGTAAATGATAAAGGCTACATTACAAGTTGTGCTACTTGTAGCACAAATTAATTTGTGCTACTCAGTAAATATTGTTGGGGTATTTGGCTTCCTGTATGAAAAAATAAAAGTGAGAAAAATAAAATTACATACCAAAAATAAATCCAGATGGATTAAAGACCAAAACATGAGAAACCTATCAGAAGACAATATAGAAAACCATTTTTATGACTTCAGATTGGAAGGTTTTCCTACACAAAAGACACAAACCATAAAGGAAAACAAGTCATTTTATTGCAAAACCTTCTGTATGATAGGATACCATAAACAAAATTAAAAGACAAGAAAGACTGGGAGCAGATATTCGCAAAAGGATTAGTACCCAGAATCTATGAAACTTATCTAAAAGTAAATAAGAAAAACAGATGTAGTTGAAAAGCGAGGAAAAGATATTAATAAGGCTATTATAGGAAATGAAGTCTGAATTGTCAGTAAACATGAGAAGATGCTCAATATTAGTAGAATCAGGAAAATGCAAATTGAAAGATACTATTTTTTATTTTATCAAAATGGTAAAAATTAAAGTTTAATAATATAAGATTGGCAAAGATGTAGGGAAAAGATACTTATCTATACTACTAGGGAGTTTGTAAAGTAAAAGGTTCCTTTGCAGAGTAATTTCACATAAAAATGGACACAGCCTATAGCCCACCACTAGGTAACCAGATACCTTAGGGAAACTTGGGCCCACATGTGAGAATGTTCATTGCAGCATGTTTGTAGTAGTATAAATTTGGAACAGCCTTGAACACCAGTGGTAGAAGAACAGCTGAATAAAATGTAGTGTCACTTGATTTTAACTATACCTGTTCTAACATTGATTCTAGATGCCCGTTTATTCATATTAGCATCTCCAGAATCAAGTGTCCTACAGTCAGTGTTGATTCACGGATGCATTGGCAGATGTTTTCCTTCACATCACACAAAGTAGTGATGCATTTTTCAAAAGATTATGTTAATAAAATAAGGTAAATACTACTATGACAGATCCAAAACATACGGTCAAGTGGGAAAAAAAACGAGTTGCAGGATGATATATTTAGTATGTTACCATTTAGGTAAGTGAAACACTACAGTATATTTTTGGAAACATGCAATTTAAAATATTAAAAATGGATTAGAGGAATACATTTCTGGTTAGGAGAATTAGATTGAGGAGGGAATATTAGCATTATTTATTATAATAGTAATTATTTTATTGTTTAGTTGCATTTTATTCCTGTCCTCCCAAAGCACAAGGTGATTACACAGCCCAGAAGCAAACATCATTTCTGAGTAGTGGGAACATAGATTTTTAACTTTCTGTAGTCTCAAAGCTTAAAAACATATACACAGAAGGAAAGAATTTAATTGCTGTGGTTTCATAGATTTAAGATCCTTCCCTCTGTACCTTACGTTGTGTTTGCCAGTGTATGTGCCAGTGATAAGTGTTTTAAGGACTTAAACTGCCTGAGGATATTCTAAACTCTGGATGTATACCTGTGTGCTTTGGGGAGGTATGGGGTCTGCATGTGCATACATGCTGTGAAAGACATAGAAGCATATAGAGTATTTTGAGGAGCTTTTAAAATGTTGGTTATTGAGCCTTTATTTTTTTCCTATTTAGTTTCCCAGATATGCTGAGATTGTGCACTTAACACTACCTGATGGCACAAAGAGGAGTGGGCAAGTTTTAGAAGTTAGTGGTTCCAAAGCAGTGGTTCAGGTAAGCATCACTTTCAAAACCTGGCCAGTTGAACGTTTTTCTGATCACAACAAACATAAGAAACACCAGTAGTTCTTTCTAGTAATTATCACATAAGTATACAGATCTTCATCAACTTATAGGTGGGGTGACATCTTGATAAACCCATCATAAGCTGAAAATATTGTAAGTTGAAAATGCATTTAGTACACAGAACCTACCGAACATCATAGCTTAGCTTAGCTTACATTAAAGGTGCTCCGAACACTTATATTAGCATACAATTGCACAAAACCGTATAACACAAAGCCTATTTTATAATAAAATGTTAAACATCTCATGTGATTGTTTTGAAGTACTGTTTCTACCGAATGTGTATTGCTTTTGCACCACCACGACCATGAAAAATCTTAAGCCAGGGACCCGACTCTTTACTGGCTATGAGGGAAGAAAAGTATTTTTTCATGTTTTGTTGCTAAATGCCAGCCACCAATATCCATTCTAGCCCAATAGCTCCACTGGTAAAATGGCTTTTTAAAAAAAAAATTTTAATGGATAAAATGAAACAGACAGTCACATAGAAGGAGAGAGATGAAAAGTAGAATTCAGAGCTTATGGGCTGAAACCAAAACAAGATCTGAGTCTACTTCTTTAAATTGTCTCTGATAATGCCTAGTTTTTAATGTTACTGATTATAGGAAGTGCCGGTTTTCTCAAATAACATATTGCCCTAAAAAGTAGATCTGGAGCAGAGGTCGGCAGAATTTCTGTAAGGGGCCAGATAGTAAATTTTTTAGGCTTTGTGAGGGTTTTGCCTAAGGTCTCTGATGCATGTTCTTACGCTTTTTTTTTTCCTTTTTTTTTTTTTTTTAAAAGAACAATCCTTTAAAAATGTAAAAACCATTCTTAGCTTGCTTGATGGATTTGGCCTGCAGGCACGACCCTGGTTAAGAGGTTGGCAATTTGGTTCATCGTCCACCATGAACACTTCTTTATTCATTAATACTAAAAGTAGTATGTACATTGATGTATTTTACTTTATAAGGGCTGACAAATAAATCTTAAGCGCTTATGATCTAAATTTCTTATGCCCTTCTGTTTACTTTTCTTTCTTGATAGGTGTTTGAAGGGACTTCAGGTATAGATGCCAAGAAGACATCCTGTGAGTTTACTGGGGATATTCTCCGAACGCCGGTGTCTGAGGATATGCTTGGTAAACGGATATTATTATTCATTCTGAGCAGAGATCTGTTTCCTTTTTAACGTATTTCCATGAAGTCTTTGTAAAGATTATGAATATTTGAGTCATTGTCCACTCTGTACTGTCTTGTTACTGTTTAACAGGTCGGGTGTTCAATGGATCAGGAAAACCCATCGACAGAGGTCCTGTTGTACTGGCTGAAGACTTCCTTGATATCATGGGTAGGGACAGAAAATGGATTTCTGTGTTTTGGGGAAAATAGCATCTATCTATCTTATACCTTTGTCAGATAAAGGGTGATTTTTATGATACTTTAAGTAGATAACCAACATATTCCATGTTTGATTAATTATTTTTTGTTTACTATTTAATAAATTTATTTTTCCTAGAGGTTATCTTAAAATTTTATATTTTATTTATTGTAAAATATCACCAGGATATATCTGAAATGGAAAAGCCATAATGGCTTTGAAATTAGGATTTCTCTCTTATTTGCTATACCTTACATTTCACTTTACTGCCATATAACTTGTGAATCTACAAAAGATTAATGGAAAAAAATATTTAAACAGTTTCAGATTTCAAAAATAACTGATTTTTTAAGAGTAGAAAGAAATGCTTTATATGCTTTGTATGGTTGTAGTCTTAATGTAGAGACATATTAAAATTTTCCCTTTTGGAAATGCATTAGGCCAGCCAATCAATCCTCAGTGTCGGATCTATCCAGAGGAGATGATTCAGACCGGCATTTCGGCCATAGATGGCATGAACAGTATTGCTAGGGGGCAGAAAATTCCTATCTTCTCTGCTGCTGGCTTACCGCACAATGAGGTGAGAACTAGAATCTGTTTGGTATGAAATTCAAGAAGAAAGAATTTCTGAGTGCTTTACTCTTAGTGAGAAACCAAATATAGGATTTTCAAGGTAAATACCCAAAGTTACTGTTTATATAATCCAATTACATTGACTCTTCTTTATCCACACATATCCGACTTCTTGCTTACTCTTAGGAATCTGCAAAAATTACAGAATAGTTTTATTGAGTAAAGCCCTTTAAGACAACCCAGTTTCATTTATGATTACAGTTCCCCAAAGTTTAGGGTAAAAGTTATTTTGTTGTAGAAGTATTATTTTAGATTTTAACTTAGTTCTTTTGTACTCCTCATCAGATTGCAGCTCAAATCTGTCGCCAGGCTGGTTTGGTAAAAAAATCCAAAGATGTAGTGGACTACAGTGAGGAAAATTTTGCGATTGTATTTGCTGCTATGGGTGTAAGTATTATCTTTTTCTGTTTTAGTGTGAAATGTAAAATTGCTTGTGTTATTAGAACAATGTAGAAAACTGCACAGATATTATTCAGTTTATCTCTAGGCGGAGAAGTTGCAGCTTGGCATTTTGGGCAAACCATGGATTAGTATTTAGCATTTGACTGTGGAATGTAAGAATAATTCCCTTTGTGGCCAAAGCAAGCTGTTTACTCTGTTGGCTTTTGTAAACGTTTTGGGGGTACTTGAACCTTTAAAAGAAGGAGCAGTACAGATCTGTAGCTTGGCCTTCATCAGAAATAAATATTGGGGGGAAAAAAAAAAGAAAGAAAGAAATATTGAGCATTTTTCTTCTCCCAGCACTGATGAAGTCATTGCCATTTAGGTAAACATGGAAACTGCCCGGTTCTTCAAATCTGACTTTGAAGAAAATGGCTCAATGGACAACGTCTGCCTCTTTTTGAACTTGGCTAACGACCCAACGTAAGTAAACAAAAAATAGAGCTATTTTCCCCCTGTTCATGCAGGCTTCTGGTCAAAAATGTCACCTTATACTAAGGAGATAGAACATTGCAGTGAAAGCTACACAGGCCTAGGTATGAGATAACCGTATTTAAATTCCAGCTCTGCTTCTTGCAAGTTACTTGGTTTTGGGTGAGTCACTTAGGCTCTGAAGCTCAGTGTCTTCTTTCATAAAATGTGATAAATAATACTTGTCTCACGGGGTTGTTGTACATATTAAATGAGATAATATTATAAGTTACCTAGCACACGGTCCATACTCAATAAATTACCTTTTCCTCTTACCTGCAAAATCTGGCCCCTACTTCTTTCCTCCCTTTCTCCTTCTCTCTCTCTTCCTTTCTTGCTCAGTTTTGAGAACTATATAGTTCTGACAAATTATGGGGCATTTATAAAATAAATCAATTTAGCTGTGTAGCACTAAGTAATTCTTATTATGTAAATACATAAAAGAACTCTGCCTTACTTAAGAACTTTTAAAGTAACAATTGCTTAACCTTCCTCAATTTATGTGAAACTTTAAAAGGGAGACTGTACTATTATTTCTGGAATCATTTTGTTTTGTTTTTGGCCTTTTTGTTTGAGTGACTTAGGACTTAATGTTTCATTTCAGTATTGAGCGAATTATCACTCCTCGCTTGGCTCTAACCACGGCTGAGTTCCTGGCCTATCAGTGTGAGAAACATGTATTGGTTATCCTAACAGACATGAGTTCTTATGCTGAAGCACTTCGAGAGGTAATTTTTTTCTTAATTAAAATGGATTATCTTGTCAGGGTTATCTTGTCCCTCTGCAAGTTTTCATTTTTTTTTTAAATCATGTTTTTTAAAATGCATTGCTCATATATTAGTAGAATACCTTAATTAATCAGAAAAGAAAATACTACTTTTGTCAACCTAATTGAAATGATTAGAGGATGAGATTTAAATTTTTAGCCTAATTATCATACTCTCACTGTCTCCCTTGATTAAGGCTGGATTCTTAGAGTAAATGATGCAAGCTATTTAATCAGTTACTCTCCAAGGTAGTTCTGTCTCTGTCCAGACTGTCAGCTTTCAGCCCTTTTCAAGAATTTCATTTTTAATGATGTAAATTTTTATTTATTTACATAAGTGAAGACTACACTCTGGCAGAACCCTCTTCAGAACTTTTTTTTCCTTCAGAAAGCTCAGTGATTATTTAGAAACAATGTAAGATTCTAGCACTTACCATCCAGAAGTGTGGGGTGTTTGTTCTAATGCAAGTTACTGAAATTTTGAGTTACTTGCTCTTTTAAGTGTGCAAAAAAGGGAAGAAGACTTCTGAAGAGACAGCCTATATAAATATCTAGCCTAAGATTCCCTAAGATCCATCATCATATCTCACTCGGCTACGGTGCTTTTTCATTGAAGGACTTCTTTTCTCCCATCCATCACAAATACTTTTCTAAAAGGCAGTAAAAATAAGTATTAGAAAAGTGAAAATTAAAAAAAAAAACAATTTACAAACCCTTTTATTAGTAGTATTAGATTCGACAGACAATTATTCTTTCAAATTGCCACTAAGGTTTTCTATATGTTTATGTTGCATTCTACATTATCTCCTTACAAATTGATAAAAGCTGGTCTGCAGGCCACACTTTGAGTAGCACTGCTGGAGCATACTCTTGGAGGAACCGAAGTAGCAGTTAGAAGTTGGGCTTAATGATTTACAGTTCTTGTTGGCTGTAGATTAAAATGTATGCATATATTCTAGTGTGCCTGTCTCTTAAGAGACCATTTATTACTATTCTTACCTTGTGCGGTGATCCAGGGAAATTATCTGGCCCTTGATTCCGGTTGTAAGTTGGGGTTAATAACATTAACTTCCTCATAGGGTTGTTGTGAGGATTAAATTAAATAATGTATGTAAAATGCATCAGATGATTTCTGATATATGTATTTCCTTCCCTTTTGATCTTTTCAGGATTAGCTTATGTAAATCTGGCAAGATCCATAACATGAAGTAAATCTTGTGAACTGAGAATGTTCTCTTAGTTTTAAAATGTACTACCTTTGATTTATAAAATTGCAAGCAGATTTTCTTCTAGCAAGCTATTTGAAGATTTGTGTTATGGCAGTATGATTTTAGCAGAAAACTTGTGGTCCCCAATTGTCAACATTTTTGTTGCAGAATAATCTGAATTTATGTTGCTAAATTTTTCTTAATCATTTCTAGAGGTGATATTTAAAAGAACAAGATATTTCCAACTTTGTAATTTGGCCTGTTCAAACAAATGTGTTCTAACCAAGCTTTAATTTTCATTTTCTGGTATGTGATACTGTTCTCCTTGACTCACTGTCAGGTTTCAGCAGCCAGGGAAGAGGTTCCTGGTCGACGAGGTTTCCCAGGTTACATGTATACAGATTTAGCCACAATATATGAACGCGCTGGTAGAGTGGAAGGTAGAAGTGGCTCTATTACTCAAATTCCTATTCTCACCATGCCTAATGATGGTAAGTTTAGGGTCTTTGGATTATAGCATCCCTAATCGTTGTAAGGACTTTGATTTTAAGAGAGAAGACCATCTATCTTTTTGAGTTGAAATTCTTTTGAGAGTTTATCCTCCAGAAGTTTACCTTACCTAGTGATTTGTTTCTAATAAAATTTTTCATTTCAAAACTACCCATAATAATTATTCTTTTGCAGAAAAATTTTCTTGTAATTTTTATTTATTAGCTAGTATTTAGTGTCTACTGTTTGCAGGACGCTGGTCTAGATGAAATGAATTTTTAAAAGATTTATGGGCTCTACTTAATGTAAGCTACTCATTCTAGGTGGATATTTTGTAAATGTATGTGCATCAGTAATTTAAGGTAGCTTAAGTGCCAGATATAGAGCACAGATAGTAAGTGCCACGAGACTCTAGAGATAGAACGATCATCAAAGACTTGCTAAAAATTACTTGGTTTTATCATGTGTGTCTAAGTGCACAGTGCAGTGCCTGCCTGGATGTATGCCCAGCAGCCCCCGGGTGAGACTTTCAGCATTCCCCTTATGTTAGTGTCTTTTTATCTTTATCTCAGTCTTTTAAAAACACTTTTTCAAAATATTTTCAGAAACAGTAATAACTCATTATAACTGAGCACTGTTCTAAGTGTTTTGTAAGTTTTGACTCATTTGGTCTTCATAGCGACTTTTTAGATGCTCTCGTGTGAGGCACAGAGAGGTAAAGTGTCACAGTTAGGAAGTGGCGGCTTTAGAACCCAGGCAGTCTGAATACTACCTCTGATGTGAAAATGATTTGTTCCAAGGAAGCAGCTACAAAATTACTCTCTGTAATTTAACAGACTTAGAGGTGTCTTGCTCTGTGGGACCTGCTTGGTGCTGCCTGTGTAGTGGTGCTGCCTGTGTAGTGTTGCTTAACTTGTTTAGCCTCTCTGTATTTTCCATGTTGAAATGTTGTGTATCCCTCTGGGATAGCTTATGGACGAAGAATGTTCTCTCAGTATACATCAAATTGGCAACTCTCTGCAAATGAGCTTTGTGTTTAAAATGGAACTTTATTTATATTTGGGGGAGAGAGAGCATAACTAGGAGAAATAGTACTTTTTATGAATATAGCTAATTTAACTTGTGTCGACACATGTCTAACTGTGCGGCAGCCAGATAAGTTAGACTGGCCAATACGGTAACCTCTAGCCACATTTGGCTGTTTAAATTCTAAAGTTTATTAAAATCAGATAAAGTTTGAAATAAAGTTTTTCAGTCGCATTTAGCCGCATTTCACATGTTCAGTAGCCACATTTGACCAGTGGCTGCCATATTGGACAGCACAGATAAAGCACTTTTCCATCATCACAGCAAACTATTTTATATAGCACTGTTTTAAGTAGTGCAGATTGACTTCCTGTGGTTTTGTTTATATGAGATGGACACTTTAACTAACATCAGGTGTCTTTCTCTGGTAGATATCACTCACCCCATCCCTGACTTGACTGGATATATTACAGAGGGGCAGATCTATGTGGACAGACAGCTACACAACAGACAGGTATTTGACAGTTGAATGATGCTATAAGCCTACAGATCTATTCTTCAGTTATTCTTTAGTGACTCTAACTTTGCTCTTAGGAATTATTTATTTAGAAAATATAAGCAAGAGGGAAGAGATATGGGAACATATGTATATGTATAGCTGATTCACTTTGTTATAAAGCAGAAAATAACACACCATTGTAAAGCAATTATACCCCAATAAAGATGTTAAAAAAAAAAAAGAAAATATCAAATTGCATTGTTTTTAATATGGCTATAAAATTGTCATTTCTGTAATACTAAAATCCTGGTGTGGAAAAAAGTGCCAGAATTAAGAATTAAATTTCCACTTTCTTTATTTTGACTTAAAATGGAGTGGGTTGTTCAAAGAACGTTTTTGGGTCTTCTGTTCCATAATGGTATAATCTACTTTTGTTATTAATACAAGAACAGATTTTTCAGAGTTTTTTCTTTGTCTTTTATTGTTAAAATTTTTAAAAATTGAGGTATAATTGACGTCACATTACATTAGTTGCAGGTGTACAGTGTCATGATTTGATATTTGTATATGTTGCAGAATGATCACCCCAATAAGTCCACTTAACATCCACCACCTCACATAGTTACAAAATTTTTTTTCTTGTGATGAGAATTTTGAAGAGCCACTCTTCTAGCTACCTTTAAATATGTGATACAGTATTATTAACTTACATAGTCACCATGCTGAAAGTTCCATCCCCATGACTTAACTCATTTTATAAGTGAAAGTTCGTACCTTTTATCCTCCCTCACCCATTTTGCTCACTCCTCATCCCCTGCCTCAGGCAGCCACCAGTCTGTTCTCTGTCTGTGAGCTTGACATTTTGTGAGATTATATGGTATTTATCTTTTTCTGTCTGACTTATTTCACTTAGCATAGTGCCCTAAAGGTCCATCCATGATGCTGCAAACAGCAAGATTTCATTCTTTTTTATGACTGAATAATCAAAAACAGATTTTTTATTGGTTCTTTAATAGATGCCAGCTTCTGATATCAGCTTTTAGGTGAAATTATTGTTATTTTTATTTTTTTTTGCGGTACGTGGGCCTCTCAGAGCCGTGGCCTCTCCTGCCGCGGAGCACAGGCTCCAGACGCGCAGGCCCAGCGGCCATGGCTCACGGGCCCAGCTGCTCTGCGGCATGCGGGATCCTCCCGGACCGGGGCACGAACCCACGTCCCCTGCATCGGCAGGCGGACTCTCAACCACTGTGCCACCAGGGAAGCCCTATTGTTAATCTTTTTATGTGTCATTTTATGAGTCAGAGTTCAGAAGACCATTTGGATTTGATATTATAGGCAGATGTTGAAAATTCAGTTTTTAAATATAGTCTTGTACTATTTTGTAGATTTTACTTTTTGGATTTGATTCTCAAAAGAAATCTTAACCTGTAAAATGTTTCTTCCTTTTCTTATCAGGAAAAGATATTAGGAATCATCTAGGAAACAAATGTAGCAGTGTTATGCAATTTAAGCAATAAAAATGAGTTTCAAAGTCCTCCTTTACTACCAGTAAAGCTTGAATTTTGTACTTAAATATAATATTTTCCCCCTTCCCCTTTTACCCAAGATTTACCCACCTATTAATGTGCTGCCCTCGTTGTCGCGGTTAATGAAGTCTGCTATTGGAGAAGGTATGACCAGAAAGGATCATGCCGATGTATCTAACCAGCTGGTACGTATGTTTTCTCCAGGATGGTGTTTAAAGAAATGAATACTTTCTCAGTTCATTCTGCTGTCTTATACCTCTTGTCTTTCTTCCATATCACTTTTCTTCTCCCCCCATCAAAGTAGAATTTTAATATAGAATATAGAATATAGAATAGTGGAATACAGAAACATTCATTAGAGCCTTTTTCATAAGGATAACTGCTCATGACAAAGATTAAAAATCACATGCTTGAAACCCACCTCTAATGCTGTATGAGGTAGTTTTTAAATAAAAAAGGCATAAGACAATTAAGTTTTTATTAGTAACCTTAATTATAGAGTATTTCTGAAAGACTATTCTAACTAATTTTTTGTTTAACATATTAGGCAATCACCAGAACGCTAAGGGATACAGCTGTATATATTCTATGAAATCCTTGGTTGCTATAGTCCTGAGATTGTATACCAAGCATAATTAAAGAAAAACACATTTGACCTTAAAGTAGAAATGATAAATAAACCTAGTGATAACACAGATATTTTTTTTTGAATAGAATTTAGAGATGGATTTCTCCTATTGTGTAAGTTGTGATTTTTAAATGCTCTACAAAATGTAACCTCATTGGTATATTGAGGGAGTGTATTTTTTGTAGAGTGTTAGTAATGTCTGTGTATTGCACGCTTGAAGACTCCTTTCTTAGTGAGACTACGTATAATAAAGTCTTTTCAGTACTTGCATATGCACTTTATGTGAATTATGTTTGGAAATCATGTGAAATACTGTGAAGATAACTACAGCAATACACTTACATAGCCCAGAGTACCGTTACCATTTATAAAACCTTATCTCTGTTCACGTAAACCTTTTTTTCTCTTTAGTATGCATGCTATGCTATTGGTAAGGATGTGCAGGCCATGAAAGCCGTAGTTGGAGAAGAAGCCCTTACGTCAGATGATCTGCTTTACTTGGAATTTCTGCAGAAGTTTGAGAGGAACTTCATTGCTCAGGGTAAGATTACTGTTTTCCTATGAATAGAAACAGCATCATATGTAGTTTTGAGGAGGACTTCTTTCCTAGTCTGAGAGAATTTACATTGGTCTCCATACAATTTTCCTTCTGATTAGAGAAGAGGTTCTTCCAGCCGCCTGCCATGTCTTTGTTCTTAGCCCTCTGGTTCCTTCCCCTGTACCTTCAATTTCTTTATCCATTTATTTAGCTCCTGTCTTGTGTTTTCTCTTCCTTAGAACCGGCCTTCTGCTCTCCTGCCTCCATTGCCACTTCTCCTCCCTCTTACCCTCTCTGCAATGCTCTCCTCTGGCTTTGGGGGCTTTGGACTTTTCCTGTCCATCTATTTTCATCCTCCTGATTTCTCATCTTCCTGCTTCTTAATTGTTAGTGTTCCCAAAGGCTTAATTACCTGTTCTTTCTGTGCTTTTTTTCCCCTGTGCTGATGACTAACTTCCTATGTATGAGCCTTTCCCCTCTTTCTGAAGCTCTAGTCCCGCATCTTGAGCTAGGAAGCCTTTGTTTATGCCACCATCCTCTCTGGCTCAGCGTGGTGAGAACCAAAGTATTTTCCCAACTGACCACCTGCCTAGCAATTCCCTTTTCAATTTCTGTCTACCTCTGGCATGACCATTACCCTAGTTAGCCCAAGCTCAGGCATTGGGCATTCTTAACCCTCTTCATTTATTCTCCAGTCATCAAATATTTGCTAATTTGCATTGTTCTTCTTTAAAACATCTTATCCTGTTCTCTTTTCATTCCTATTAAAAAAACTTAGGCCGGTGTTTCTCAAAATTGAATATGCTTTTGAATCTACCAGGGATCTTGTTGAAATGCAGATTCTGATTCGGTAGATCTGGGTGGGGCCAGAGAGCCTGTATTTTGACAAGTTCTGGGTGATCTTGAAGCTGCTAATCTCTGACCACTCTGTGTATCCCAAGCCCTAGTCCAGACCTTTGTCCCATCATCCTTGGCCGTTAGTGCCAGCATCTTCACCAGTCTCCCTGACTCTCTCTATGCCATTGCCAGGGTAAATTTAGTATTAATTTTATTGATTGTCCTTCTGTTAAAAAGTCTATAATGGTTTTTATTACATAGCATGTGTAGGGCTTTCAAGCTGTTTTGCTTGTTCTCTTCCCTGCCACCCCTGCTAATGCTGGTAAACTCTATTTTTGACCTCAGTGATACTTACAAACGATGTGTTTATTTTGGAATAATGCATCAGCTACACACTTAAGATTTGTGCGCTTTTCTATTTATGTGATACATTTTTTAAGTAACATTAAAATCCCCAGAACGTATGATAGTTGGGTTTTCTAAAAAAATAAAAATAAAAAATTACACAGAACCCTAATATCTTAAAAAGATAAAAGTTGTTCTGGTAGACAAGAGATGCAGAACTCTAGCCACTCTAACTCCTTAGTTAAAAAATGAGATTTATTTGCAGGATAAGAATGATTCTGCTATTAAGAATAATAATAGCAATAGCAAGTTTGAAAACTTTCACACGGACCTATTCAGGTGATTAATTGGCATTTAAGGCCTTCTAAGTATCTGTACTAGCCTCCTTCAGGTCAGCCTGTGTTCCTGGGAAACTGCTTTTCTCACTACTCTCTGGACAAAACTCTGGGTCTAGTTTCCATTATTCAGTGGAGTGTGTTTAGATCCCACCCGTTGTTAAACACACACGCACGCACACACACACACACACACACACAGCCGCCGAACGTCTCGCCTGTGGGCTTTCTCCCTTTTCTCTGGTTCCCAGGGGTACCTATTGTCTAGACCCTCATTTCCACGTTAAGTCACACCCAGTCCTGGAGGCCTAACTGCTGTGTGTCTCTTTTTATACTTCATGCTTACAGTGCTAGTTCCATAGCAGAATAAATTTTGAATAACGCTGAGAAGTTGGAAGTACTTGGCCTTTATTCATCTAATCTCAATTTTTTGTAAGGTCCATACGAAAACCGCACTGTCTATGAGACTTTGGACATTGGCTGGCAACTGCTCCGAATCTTCCCCAAAGAAATGCTGAAGAGAATCCCTCAGAGCACTTTGAGCGAATTCTACCCTCGAGACTCTTCAAAGCATTAGCTGCTACTTCATCGCTGGCTCGATGCTCTTGTGAAATACTGGTCCTGTTTTCTTTATTGCTTTTGCACTCCCCCATCCCCACCTTTGTGTTGGAGTTTACTGTGTTACCCTGTAATTAAAAACAAGGAATAGGTAACATATTGTGCCAGTGTTGCAATGTTTTAAACTGCTAACAGCCTTTAAAATACCCCCTGTTCAGAAAACCTGGAACTTCAATGCTTTGTTTAAAGTAGCTGAGGGTTGGAGGTGAAGTTTTCCTACTGACGTGTGTATTTGTACATAGTGGTGTAGTTAGCTGCCTAGTGTCCTCATTATTTGGGTCTCTCAGACCTTCCTTGTCCACCCCCTCAAGAGTATCACTATCTGAAGTTATAATGCTTTGATCTCCAAACTAGAGACAAGATAGGGCCTGAAAGACGCTTCCGCTCAGAGCCAAGACGCTTTCCTGAGCACTTGTTCTTAGATTTTGGTGTGCCTCTGGGTCTGTGCTGCTGCTCTAAGCAGATGGTTTTTACTGTCCACCTGCTGTTTCCTGTTTAATGAATAGATTAGAAAAGGAGTTTCCTTTTCCTCTTTGGTATGGATAAGTTTCAACTCCTGTTTCTTACTGTTCTCCCTCCCTCTGAGTAGCACAGAATCATGCAGGTTTTGCCCGACTGGCCTTGATCTGTTAGTAGTGAGATGCCCTGTCTTGATGATCCTTACTGGGTTTCCATGCAGAGGAATCATAATTAAAATAATTAATAGAATTGTTGGTTGGAAAGAGTTGGGATGCAATTTTTTAAGAAAGAAAAACCTATATCGGTTCTACATTTGGACATGCTAACAGTGGTTTTAAGTTTCTAAAGTGTTTACCAGATGCTAAAGGCAAGGTGGGGGAGAGAAAGCTCTTCTGTGTATGGAATTTTTTTATATATATAATCTATGGATATTTTAAACTCTGTTAGATAGCAGCCTTTGGAAAATCCCCTATTTGGTCCTGCTTTCTGACCTATCTGCCTTTTCAGGGTAATCTTGTGGCACAAGTGATAGCATTTAAAAGCTTTAGTCTTTTAATTCCTCCTCCTTCCTGCTGCGAGCCCTGAGCTGTCTTCTATGCACTTCTGACATGTCTACTGTTTGGTCTCTCTGTGTTCTTTGTTACTTGGGTGCAATAGCAACTTCTCTGTGCATTCCATCTTTCTTTCAAGTTGTGTAAAGTTCTTCACTTTCTTTCTCTGAGGGTGTAGGGGGTGGGGGGAGTCAGCATGATTATATTTTAATGTAGAAAATGTGACCTGGATATAAAATGAAAATAAATATTAAGTTAAATGGAAGTTACCTAAAGTGACTCTGTATCTTCTAATCAGAAAAGCAATAGCAACAAGCAAATATATAATAATGCATCTCTCTTTGATTCACAGTTTTGAACATCATAACCAGTATTGTGAACCAGCCCCTTGATTCACAGTATTATGAATCATGTCCCCTTTACAGGGACATGGCCCATGTTTTGTACCCTCTGCCTTTTAGGCTGCCCTTTCAAGCTCTTTTCAGTAATACCTTTTCCAACATATTGTAGTTTGATCCAAGGTTGAGAGTTACTAAGGTGTGGGGTTTGTTTGTTTGTTTGTTTGTTTTGTAGATCATTAGTGGCTATAAGTTCTCTGAAACTTGAAGTTTTGATTCAGGGTCCACTTAGCATTTTCGAGAGTTACTAAGGTGTTTTATAGCCTTCTTTGTTTCAGACATTCTCAGGACCTCTAGAGCCTGTCTGCCATGAATGAAAGAGGGTAATAAATAGAAAATGAAATACATACTGAAGCAAGCCAAAACTTGCTTCAAATAAAATCTGAAATAGATGGTCCAGTATATAAAGGAAACATACTGGTTAAAGCACAGGGATGTGGCATCATGGTGGCCTCCCGTTTCTTTCCCCTCTTCAACTCAGAGTGACATTTAGGACATGTAGAGGAAGAGGCTCAGTCATAGCAAGAGTAGGTAGACCTGTGTTCTGATTCTGGCCATACACTAACTGTATGGCCTTGCTTAGTCATTTAACAGATTTGTGTTCCTTTTAGGGTTATTATAAGGACTAGAGATTTTGTATGCAAAGCATTAGGACAGTGCCTGGTCCATGGTGTAGGCACTCATATAGTAGGCTACTTTTAATGCCAAAGCTTTATTAAGGGAGACTTGACGTATTACTCTTAAATAATACTTAAGATTAGTTAGTTAAGTAGCATTCTTGTTAGTTTGTTATTTTTTAGGGAAAACATTTTCTTAGTGTACCTTTTTGTGCCAGTGATAAAACTTAATTGAAAGACTAAATTTATGCTTTAACATGGACTCTCACTATGATTAAATGTTTTAAAAAGAAGTTTTCATTTCAGTTGGCTTAAAGTATTTGGGAGGAGAAAAGTCACTTCAAAGTTCAGGCTATCTAAATAAGTCATTAAGCATTTATTGCTTGCAGTTGACTGTCACTTCGGTCCATAAGATTTCATGTAAGTGAAAAAATGTTTTCAGACTAATGTAATAAATGCCTCACTAAGATGCTTTATTCTCAGCAAGTGTGGATGGTGCACAATGTCTGGGGTCAATAAAAGCATTGTCTGCTTTTGAAATTTTCTGTTATACTGGTAATGGAAAGTTAGCTTAGTCCAGTATTAGGGAACAACAGAAAATAGTTCCCCGGACAGAACTGAAAATACCATTTAGAGACAAGAAAAACTTAGCGAGGCAGTTCTTGAAGGACAGTTATCTTTTATGGAAAACTTAAGTACAAAGAAATGGGGTTTTTTGTTTGTTTTAATGAAAATCATGTTCCTTACTCAGCTACCAACTGTGGTTTTATTCCAAACTTTTTCCAGTCTGGAGTTGAATACCTGCCTAGTACTCAAGGAAACTATGCAGTGTCCACAGTTGCCCCTGCCTCCGTATGAAGCCCTGCACTGGCAACAGTGAGCAGGTGACTGGTGTTTAGAAACAATGAGACTAACCAGTCAAGGAGCTTTGTATCCTCAGCGAGAATAGCAAAACCTGCCCAGAAAACTTGCTAAGTGTTTTCAGGCAGCTGGGCAACCTGGGAATTGTTGATCCCAGCCCCCCCCTCCTCCATGATCAGTCTGCTGCAGTTCTTTGTAGAGGAAAGAACAGCCTCCACCTGTGATGAACGAGGCCTGGGCTTGGCCAGTCCCCCTGGTGGAGCTAAGGGTACCCAGCCTTGAGTAGAACACAAGGCCATTTGCTGTGATTAGCAGCAGTAAGTAGTACACATATAACAGACCACTTTTCTCCAAAGGATTTCATCTCCAAACTCCAGAGTATTTTACACATTTAATAAATTTGTGACTTGTTCAGGGTCATGTAAGCTCACATGAGCTAGAACCTGGGTCTTTAAACCTAGTTTAGAGATCTTTCCAGAGCACTCTGGTAACAGCCAAAGGTCACTCCATAACTGAAACAGGCATCCACAAATTCTGGCCACTGTCTGGAAACCAGGACTTCGTGTTGTGGCGAAAGTTCTGTTATTTTATGGTTCGTAATGGTACTGTGAATGTAAACAAAAGGCCTTGATGGGCTAGGATCAGGAACTTCGGGGCTCACACCCAAAAGCTAAGCTCTTCTGGGGAAGCAAGATGAGATAGTAGCCTCAAAAAGCTACTAGATTACTTGCCAGGAGGTTGTATTCTTCATTTCCACAAGAGGGCAGCAGCTCCTGAACAGCCAGGCACTGGCTGAACATTGAGCTCCGGAAATGGAGACACTTTTTAGCTGCAGCAGCAGGGCAGTCAGGGTTCACTGAATCAAATGATGTCTTTTTGGAGCTACACATTAGCCCGGGGGCTATAAGGGAACATGATCTGATAATAAACCAAAACAAACCAAAATTGGTACAAAGAGGCCTGGATGTAGAATCAGGAGATCTGAGTTAGAAGGATCATAGAGATTATCTGGTCCAACTCTCCTGATAACTAAAGGCCCTTTTAAGCCTCTGAAATGGTGAGGTCCAGCCTCTGGTGAATCTGGAACTGTCTCAGGAGGGAGTCCACTCCAGGGATGGACCTCTCTGATGGTAGAAGTGTTCTTTATAAATCACGGTAAAACTTGTTTCCCTGTAACATCACATAGTGGCATCCTTGGCCTTTCCCCCAGGGCTCTTCCATGTGATAACCCACCACCACTTTGAAGATAGTTGCCACTTCTAAGTCTTCTTCAGTCTAAATATTTCTAGTTCCCTCAACTATCCCTCACTTGATGGGATTATTCACCCCTTCAGTAACCGAATAGGTTTAGGACCCAGATCTAACCTTCTAGAACAGTGATCTTTGTACTTCAGTTCTTGGCTTTATGCTGTCCCTAGAAGAAGGTCTCCAAAACATAGAGGCTTAGCCCATGGAAATCAAGTTCTTTCCCAAGCAGGAAGCTGGAACTGAAGTCATGGAAACATTGTCTGTGGTCTTCAGGAGCAGCTCTCATTGAGGCCAGGACTGTGATTCAAACTTAGGTTACAGTATGCTGAGAACTAAGGTACTCTGTTCTCTGGTTCTGTTGTACTTTTCCCCAGGATCTGCCACTCAGCAGCAATCAGGTGTAATCCAAGCACTATGGAAGTTTCATTAACGGTTTACTTAATAAATACAATACTCATTGTACAGGTAAGACTCAAGTACAGATAAGAACAAAGAAATAAGAATCCCATAATCCTGCCACTCAGTGGAAACTATTAACATTTCGTCATATAGAATCCCTTAACAATCATGGGTTTGCCAACTGTGGCTTTGCCCACCCATCTTTTTAAGCCAAAGCCCATGGTAATTATGGCGTCTTCCTCCCACAGACCGTGTATACGAGACTGTGGGACTCATGTCAAGAAGAGGTGTGTTTAAGCTATAAACTCTAAATACGTAAAAGACAGTGAGCCCTGTGGTTTAATCAGAGTGCTGGCAGAGCTAAAACAATACAGCTCATAGATTTCTCAAATCGCTATAAAGGGAATTACGGTCCCCCAGCAGCACTTCTTAAAAGCCCTTTTCTTCTCATCGGCAGACCACTTCTGTCTTCAGCTGCTTTGATCGAAGCCTCAGGGAGGGTTGAGGAAACCATTCTCCGTCATGCTTCTTCCTGTGCTTCCCTCCCCTTTCCCATCATGAGATCTCAGGAACCGGGATGAGGGGGGTGAACCCGAAGGGGGGGTGGGGCAAGGAGACCAGGCTGAAGCGTGAGTCAAGGTAGAAGCACCGCGGCCCCCACTCGAAGGCAGGGTCAGGGTAAAGGCTGAAGAGTCTGTGGGCTCATTTCTGGGTCATCCAGAGGGAGACTCAGCCCAGGAAGTGTACCCCTAAGTGCTTCAACAACCTGTGAAAATACCAGACAGTTCTCTGCACTTCACCAAGGATTCAGATGCAAGAACATGACTGTGAAAGATGTTTTAAGCCAGTAAAGACTGGCGTGAAGAAATGTGATCACGGGAGTTCTCTGGTGGCCTAGTTGTTAGGATTCTAGGCTTTCACTGCCGTGGCTTGGGTTCAATCCCTGGTCAGGGAACTGAGATCCTGCAAGCCATGGGGCGAGGCGGAATATAAATATATATATATATATATATATATATATAATCACAGCTTCAGTCTGCATGCCATGGTTTCCAGGAGAATCTTTGAAAAATCATGACCTGAAGCACTGAATGTGCCCTGGAACATTGTAGGTCATGCAGGAGAGTGGTTACTACTGTGTGGATTGTTTTTAAATAGCAGCTTTATTGAGGTATCGTTCACATACCATAACAATTCATCCATTTAAAGTGTGCCTTTCAGTGTTTTTTAGCATAGTTATGGAGTTGTGCAACCATCACCACAATTTTATAACATTTTGATATTCCCCCTCCCCCCCAAAAAAACAAATCCTGTACCCATGAGAAGTTACTCTCCATTTCCCCCAACCCTTATTCGTCCTACGCAACCACTACCCTGTCTTTCCCTGTGGTTTTGCCTGTTCTGGACATCTCATATAAATGGAAGCATACAATATGTGGTCCTCTGTGACTGCTTCTTTCACTTAGCCTAACGTTTTCAAGGTTTATCCACGTCAAAGCATGTATCGGCACTTCAGTTCTTCTTATTACCAAACAATATTCCATCAGTATGGATATACCACATTTTATTTACCCATTCATTGGTGGATGGACATTTGGGTTGTTTCCTCTTTGGGACTGTTAAGAACATTACTGCTGTGGACATGCATGTCCAAGTTTTTATGTGGACATAACGTTTCCATTTCTCTGGGGCGTATACCTAGGAGTGGAACTGCCAAGCCATATGGCAGGTCTCTGTTTAACCTTT